AGAAACAGAGAAGAGTAGTGGTAATGTTACTGGATTAGAAATCCGGATTTGTGCGGGCACAGTGGCTCAGTGTTAGCACTGCTGCCTCACAGCACCAGGGACCCGGGTTCAATTCCCGCCTTGGGCAACTGTCTGTGTGGAGTTTGCATGTTCTCCCTGTGTCTGTGTGGGTTTCCTCTGGGTACTCCGGTTTCCTCCCACAGTCCAAGGATGTACAGGTTGGGTTGGATTGGCTGTGAGAAATTGCCCGTAGTGTTCAGGGATGTGTAGATTAGGTGGGTTATAGGGGGATGGGCTTGGGTGGGATGCTCTGAGGTTCGGTGTGGACTTGTTGGGCTAAAAGACCCGTTTCCATGCTGTAGGTATTCTATGGAACTCCATTTGTTGGGGATATGAGTTACCAATCCCACCATGGTAGATGGTGAAATGTGAATTCTCTATAAATCTAGCCTAATGGTGACCATCTGTCCAAATGTTGTAAAAACCCATCTGGTTTACCACTGTCCTTTAGGGAAGGAAACTGCCATCCTCACCTGGTCTGGCCTACATGTGACTCCAGGCCCACATCAATGTGGTTGATTCTTACGCAGCCTCTGGCCTAGCCAGTGACACCCATATCACATGAATGGATTGTTTTAAAAATTTGTTCCTGGGACTAGTGCAAGTATTTGAGAGAATTCCCAATTCCGTGAATCAGACCTTTACAAATGGCCGGAGAGGGACAGTGGAAGTTGTTAGGTGTGCAGGTGTGCATTCTGGAAGACCTGCCCTAGTGATATGACCCTGTGCCTTATCGTTACAAATTAAGAGTGAAGCATCCTTTCAGTCTACACCTAATGCTCCATCTGTGCCAACCAATGCCACCTCATGCCTGATGTGGAGCTGCCAGTGTTAGACTGGGGTGGACGAAGCCAGAAGTCACACAACACCAGGTGATAGAGCAACAGGTTTATGTGAAATCACCAGCTTTCAGAGCACTTCTCCTTAGTCAGGTGAAGTGGAGGGAAATGCACAGGCGCAGGAGATGCCTAGTAAATACCTCTCCCCTTGCCCCCATGTCATGTTACACTCCTCTAATTACCTCCCAATAGCAGCTTGTATCCCCCACACCCACTTACGGCCACCTTACCCATCACTCTTACATACATTGTGCCAACTCGCTTATTATTCACCATGAGCCAAGCTCTCAACCTGGATAGGATAAGGTGAAGTTAGGAATGAAGGTGTATTTTAGCCTGGCACGTAGTTTGTCCACATTTCCCAACCATTTGGCTCTCCTCCCAGAAAAGCTGGTACTTGGGGAGTGGTAGGTTGAGGCCTTTAAGTGGCTGTTCATTAAGCATTTGATGGCATCATCTGTGAGTAGAGAAGGTCACCCATGTACATTCTCACACATTGGCATTTTTTGCTGAAAAAAAGAGACACAAGCTCTGTACCACCAATCAGGTGTCTGGATAGCTCTTTGTCAGTTTTCTGAAAGGTTGATAATCCCTTCATAACTTTGACAGTTCTGATCAGCTTATGCACAATGTGCACACTCATGCGTACTTTTAATAATCTCAAAGAGCGCCTGACCTCTCCCACAGCGCACCTTATATCTCCCAAACATGTGCTAGAACCATATTGAAAATGGAGCCTTACATCTCCAGAAGAGTTGCCTGTCTTTCCAAATGACACTGACCGCTTTAAACTTTCTCTTGCCAGGTCGATAATTGTCCAAAATTGGATATGACTGCATATTGAACCTTTGCAACTCCTTTGTGAACCACCCATCTTGAATCCTGACTCAACTCCAATTCCATCCCACACCATAATGAGAAGTGCCATGTTTAGGGAAAGGATTTAACATTTTCTGGCACTTTTGCTCACCATTGTGGTGAAAGTCCCAGGCAGAGTGTGTGTTTTCCGAATAATATCGAGCCCATCGGCTATAAACCTGCCTTTCTATCTCAGGAGAAAACATGGACTGCAGTGGATGAAGAAGGCAGCTCACTAGGGCAACCAGGGACAGGCAATAAATGCTGGCTCAGCCAGCGATGCCCATATCCTGTGAGGGGATAAAAATTCAGTTCCCAATGGTTTTGGTTATTCAAAGATTATAAACAACCTGCTATAGGAAAGAAATAGCAAGAGCTGCCGATGCTGGGGTCAGAGATAACACTGTGTGGAGCTGGAGGAACACAGCAGGCCAGGCAACATCAAAGGAGCAGGAAAGTTGATGTTTCGGGTCGGGATCCTTCTTCAGAAATGGGGAGGGGGAAGGGAGCTCAGAAATAAATAGAGAGAGGAGGGGTGGGGTTAGGGAAAGTAGGTGGGATGGTGATAGGTGAGTGCCTCTCTCTATTTATTTCAGAGCTCCCTTCCCTCTCCCATTTCTGTAGAAGGGTCCTGACCTGAAACGTCAACTTTCCTGCTCCGCTGATGCTGCCTGGCCTGCTGTGTTCCTCCAGCTTCATACTCTGCTATAGGAAAGGTGTTGTTAAACTTGAAAAAGTTCAGAAAAGATTTACAAGGATGTTGCCGGGTTTGGAGGTTCTGAGCTATAGGGAGAAGCTGAATAGGCTGGGGCTATTTTCCCTGGAGCATCACAGGCTGAGGGGTGACCTTATTGAGGTTTATAAAATCATGAGGGCCGTGGATAGGTTGAATAACCAAGGTCTTTTCCCCAGGGTAGGGGAGTCCAAAATCCAGAGGGTATAGTTTTAAGGTGAGAGAAAAAAGATTTAAAAAGGACCTGAGGGGCAATTTTTCGCACAGATGGTGGTATGTGAATAGAATGAGCTGCCAAAGGAGGTGGTGGAGGCAGGTACAATTATAGCTTTTAAAAGGCATCTGGATGGGTATATGAATAGGAAGGATTTGGAGGGATATGGGCCAAATGCTGGCAACTAGTTTAATTTAGGAAATCTGGTCAACATAGACGAGTTGGACCAAAGGGTCTGTTTCTGTTCTATACATCTCTATGACTCTAAGTCATGACACCATATAAAATTGTCAAAATTTGTTCTTATAATCCTAAGCCAATTGTACATTAGACAATTTTATGTAGCTTTTTCCAAGCAAGACATTTTGATTCTTGGGTGAAGGAATAACCTTCCAGCGTTTAAAGTAGTACAAATGAAATAAATCTATCATTATTTTCCATGTATTTAGATTTCGAGATTGTAATGTAGGACAAATCCTGAGATGTTTCACTGGAGAGATATAAAACCAACATTTGAAACTAAGCCACATATTAAGTAAAATATCCAAGTGCTATGTAAAAGATATAGATTTTAAGAAATATCTGAAAGGAGGAAAGTGATGTAAAGAGATGAAGAGGTTTAGGGAGCAAAGTTCTCTGGCCTGCAGCCCTGGAAACTGAAATGTAGAGTCATAGAGTCATACAAGACAGAAACAGACCCTTGAGTCCAACTTGTCCATACTGACCAAGTTTTTCAAAGTAACTTTAGTCCCAACTGTCTTCATGTGGCCCACATCCCTCTAAATATTTCCTGCTCATGAGCCTGTCCAAATGCCTTTTTTACTGGTGGCACAGTGGCTCAGTGGTTAGCACTGCTGCCTCACAGCACCAGCAACCTGGATTCGATTCCACCCTTGGGCAACTGTCTGTGTGGGTTTGCTCCCACTGTCCAAAGATGTACAAGCTAAGTGGATTGGCTATGCTAAATTGCCCCATGGTGTTCAGGGATGTGCAGATTAAGCGGGTTATAGGGGGATGTGTCTGGGTGGGACGCTCTGAGGGTCGGTGTGGACTTGTTGGGCCAAAGGGCCTGTTTCCACACTGTAGGGATTCTGTGTTGTAACTGTACACATTATCTGGCAGTTCATTACACAGACAAACCACTCTCTGTGTGAAGAAGTTGTCCATCAGGTCCCTTTTAAATCTTTCTTGTCCCATCTTAAAAATAGGTCAATCAGTTTTGAACGCTACCTGCCATTCACCTTATCTATGCCCCTCATGATTTTATAAACTTCTGGCAGTGTTAGCACTGATGCCTCGCAGCACTGGGGACCCAGGTTCAATCCCACCCTCAGGCAACTGTCTACGTTGAGTTTGCACATGCTCCCTGTGTCTGTGCGGGTTTCCTCCGGGTGCTCTGGTTTCCTCCCACAGTCCGAAGATTTGCGGGTTAGGTGGATTAGCCATGGGAAATACAGGGTTATAGGGATAGGGTTAGGGGGTAGGTCTGGGTGAGATGCTCTTCAGGGGGTGAGTGTAGACTTGATTGGCCGAATAGCCTGCTTCCACACTGTTGGGATTTGATTAGATTCAATTCTATTCTATAAGGTGACACCCTCAACATTCCACGCTCCAATGAAAAAAATTCCAGCCTCTCCTTATAACTCAAACCCTCCAGTCCCAGCAACATCCTGGTAAATCTTTTCTGAACTCTCTTCAATTTAATAATATCCTTCCTATACCAGGGTGACCATAACTGTGCACAGTTCTCCAAAGCTGGCCACATCAATGTCCTATACAACCTCAACAAGACCTCCCAACTCCTATACTCAATGCATTGACCAATAAAGGCAAGTGTATCAAATGCCTTCTTCACTATCCTATCTACCCGTGACTCAACTTTCAAGGAACTATGAACCTGCACTCCAAGGTCTCTTGGTTCAGCTCCCCAGGACCTAACCATTAAGGGTATAAGTCCTGCCCTGATTTGCCTTTCCAAAATGCAACACCTCACATTTATCTAAATTAAACTCCATCTGCCACTCCTCGGCCCATTGGCCCATCTGATCAAGATCCCATTGTATCCTGAGGTAACCTTCTTCACTGTCCACTATGCCCCCAGTTTTGGTGTCATCTGCAAACATACTAACCATCCCTCCTATGGTCACATCCAAATCATTTATATAAAATGACGAAAAGCAATGGACCCAGCATCGATCCTTGTGGCACATCACAGGCCTCCAATCAGAAAAGCAACCCTCATCTGACTTGTCATCTAATTATCCTTTCGTTACTACTCCATTACTGTGCCTTCCAGGTTTGTCATCTATAAGTTGCCCAAGTATATCATCAATCAGTCTGCTGGGCTGGGACTGAATTATATGTACCTCGATCCTTCAAACAGTGGCTGGAAACAGAGCCAGTACCTCATCAATATGACTGAGAGTGCCACCGGGAGGACTCTGCAGCAACTTTATTCCACCTATCATTCAAAGGCAAGTGTCAACATTTGGTGTGACCAATGCACGCGCGCGCACACACACACACACACACACACACTCACACATACACACACACACGCGCGCTCTCACACACACACACACACACTCACACATACACACACACGCGCGCTCTCACACACACGCACACTCTCTCATGCACACACACGCTCTCACACTCATACACATGCTCTCACACACACATACACACACACACACTCACACATGCACACTCACACATACGCACGCTCTCACAAATGCACACAGACACTCTCACACACACACACACTCATACACTCACACACACATTGACACATACTCATACACAGACTGACACACACACGCACACACACACACGCACACTCACACATACACACACACACGTGCACACACACACATGCACACGCACGCACACACGCACACACACGCACACACGCACACACACACACAAAAGCGCGCGCACACACACTCGCACTCGCACACACACAGGCACACACACACACGTGCACACACACACCACACACACACACAC